AAAAAAAATGTGGTATATATGTATATGATACTACTCAGATTTAAAGAATGAAATTATGGCATTTGCCAGTAAATGGATGGAACTGGAGATTATCATATTAGATGAAATAAGTCAATCCCAAAAAAACCAAAGGCCAAATGTTTTCTCTGATATGTGGATGCTAATTCACAATAGGGGTCAGGGGGACTAGGGAAGAATACTTACTTTAGATTAGGTAGAGGGGAATGAAAGGAGGGGAGAGAGTATGGGAAGAGGAAGGATTCTAGGATGAATCAGACATTATGAATCAGACATATATAACTGTATGACTGGTGGAATTCTACCTCATGTACAATCAAAAGAATGAAAAATTATACTCCATTTATATATGATGTATCAAAAGTGCATTCTACGGTCATGTATAACTAATTAGAACAGAAAAAGAATTTTAAAGATCTCTCTCTCTCTCTCTCTCTCTCTCTCTCTCACACACACACACACACACATACACACACACACACACACAAGTTGTATATCTTTTTGTTTTTTAACTTCCACAGAGTAGAAATGACCCAATAGCACCCATCACTGAGGTGACCTCAACACACAGGCCCTGTGTCCTGCTGCTCTTCTTCATGATCAACATCAGCAGTCAACATTTTTCTTTCTCTGTCTTAATCTTTGCATACTGAGAATTAAGAAAATCCCCCAACAGTAAATGTCCATAATCACATTTGCAATAAAATGCATTTATGTGCCGCTAGGATTTGCTAAAATGTGATTTTTTCTATTTGCAAGAAACATGTGTTTCATTATACTAATTTATGAACTTATTTGGCACATCCCTCACAACATAGTGACATTTCTCTTCACAAGAATCTTATTTTCAGATTATTATGAATGGAAAATTTGAAGTGGCTTGTTTCTGGATACTGACTGTTCAGTTCTTCATTTCCATCTGTGAGGTGAGGGGAGGCACTAACAAAAATGGCAGAGAGGGCAGTTGGTCTGCTCCTTAAGGTGAAAAGATGCCTCTCAGCGTCACCAGTTGCTGTGTGTGCGCGGAGGACCGACCTAGCTCGCAATAAACACTTCTTTGCTGCTTACATCAATCTTGGTCTCTGGTGGTCTTTTGGGGGTCCTGAATTTGAGCATAACATATGGAGACTCGTCCACGATCCCCCTTATAAGCCTACCCAGATACCCCGATCGAGAGGTGATGAAAACCTGGCCAGTATACAAGTCTGTAAGGTAGAAGCTTTAAAAGAGCAATTATATCAAGCTGGTGTTCTAAAGTTGTATGAAGCACCCATCCTCAGATGCCAACATGTTTTTCCCCAACCAGACTTCAAATGGAACTGACTTCTAAAAGGAAACTCACGTCCCCCACGTCGTCCCCCATGTCGTCGAGCCCCTCACATTCAATGCCCCCTCTCAGCTCTGAAGTAGCCAGAACAAGCCGTCGCCCCTTCTCCTTACAGCAATAAGGAGTTCTTAAAATTAGAGGGAGGAATGAAGTCAGAAATAGACAGTGTAGATAGGTAAATTGAGTCAGGTTGGATCTAGGAGGCCAATTTTGAGTGAGTCTGGGAAGCTGAAGACTGTCCCCTGAGGGTTACTGTTTATTAAGATGTAGAGCCTGCCCAAATAGGCCCCCAACTTAGGGAACTATGATTGGTTCCCAAGTTTCCAGACAAAGGGGGGAATGAGAAACCAGCCTCTACCTCACAGCAAAGCCTGTCCAAGGAAGGGGGTGTGACCCTTGTCCTTGGAAAGACCCACAGAGCACTCCTAGGCACATACCCACCCTGCTGAGCTATTTATCTACAAATAACAGGAGAGATCTGCGGAGCCAGGTGTCCCTGACTCAGTCAGGCTAGGTGAGGACCCATAGCAACCCCCTAGCAACCACCAATCAGCATGAGACAGGGAAAATACCTGGGATGCCAGATGAACCCCCCGCCCCAGTAGTTTATGGTGGTTGATAACATGTTGGGAAACCACATAGTTCAGCATATACTCCCCTCGTGGCCTAAACCAATCAGTTCAAATGAATCCCCCTCTTGTACTAACCAATCACCCTTACCAACTTGTTCCCGCCAGTGAATGTGCTAATCATGTTTTAGAGTTGTTTTATGTTTTTCCCACAGTGTGTGATGATTTGTTAAGAGATGCTATGATGTATGTGAATTCCCTGCCTTCCCCAAAGAGTGTATAAAACTACTACAAACCCTGGGCTCAGGGCCTCTTAGAGTCACCAGTTGCTGTGTGCATGCAGAGTACCGAGCTAGCTCACAATAAACACTTCTTTGCTGCTTAAAAAAAAAAAAAAGGTGAAAAGATGAGCTTTTTTCTGCAGCTTTTTAATAAACTAAATAGAACAGTCTATCTAATGATTATGACAACTCTGAAACTCTAATTATGTGGTCAGTCCTTGGTGAAGCAGCCTACGTGAGAATGTATTTTAGCATATAGTAAAATTAATCCAGAGGCCATTTAATGGACAGTTATGCAAAAAATTGCAAGCAAACTGCCTTTTTCCCCTGAAATGTGAGTCCACTACAGCCAGGGAGGGCTACTGGAATAATTCAAGAAATTTTTAACTCTTGGAAAATAAAAGAAAATGTTCCTTATCCATTTGAGTCTTCCCCAAATCCCTCTTTCTAAATCTAAGTATGATGAAAGTTGGACCTTGAATAGAAATTTACTTCCAGGAAAACAGTTTGGGCTAATTCTTCATTTTCATTTTTTAAAAAAGAAGTCAATTCTAAAAGGCAAATTTTAATAAGACTTTTAGCATCAATAGTAAGTATTCTTTATTTTTTTAAAAAACAGAAAAAGAAGCTAGGCAAGGCATCTGCAATTTCTTCTTAAATGCTCTCAGAACTAGTAAGAAATTTATTTTTATATTACCCAAATATAAATAATTATAGTTTCAAATGGCAGTATATGGGGAAACTTACACACATTACTAGAGGATCATTACAAATTGATACAGGACAATTTTTGGTAATATCAAAATTACAAAAACACTAACCTCTGTCCTAGCAACCCCAGTGCTGGGCATTGATTCATTTTACAGATCAATCTGCACACATGTGAAATGATAAATGGATAAGGTTAAGCATTTCTTAACTTACAAAAAAAAAAAAAAAAAACTGAAAACAACTCAGTGCACATCTAGGTGGAATTGTTAAATTAATTATGGTACTATGTACAATGGAATACTATACAATTATAAAAAGTAATGAAAGCTCTGTATCAGTGCTCTCCACATACGTAAAATTTTATAGAATCACTTTAAGAAACAAAAGGAAATTGGCTGAATTTTAATATTTTATTTTACCTAATCTATTAAAAATGTTTATTTTACCTTATATTAAAACATTAGTAAGACTACAAAAAATAAACTTAAATCTTTAAAATTGAGGTGTATATTTTAGATCATATCTCAATTTGAACACTGTATTACTGAGGGTTAAAGTGAAATGTAGTCCTAGCCCTAACAAAACAGTAAAATCAGTAAAGTCAGGTTTGAAATGAAGTTTCTACATTGCTTCTATTTTAAGTCTAAATTAAAATGAAATAAAATTTAAAATTCCTTTTTTTAGTTGTATCATCAATCCCCGAAGTGAGCACATATCAATTGCTCAGTAGCTGGTTACATATGGTTTGTAGTGACCTTCTTGGACAGTGTAGCTCTTATAAACCATTCTCAAAAATCCTTTTGTATAAGAAAAGGAGGAAACAGAATGTATATTCTTATTTGCTTGCATTTGCATAGAGAAACAGGAAGGACTGATACACAAGAAACTAAAAGGTGTCTGTAGGGAATGAGAAGGAACAGTGTGGATGGGGCAGGGGTGGGAGTAAGTTTCCACTGTATGCCTTATACCGCTCTGATTTTTACACTGTCTCTTATGTATAGGAGAACATTTGTTTAAACAAGATTACCAATATGGCATGAGCATAAGGAAGAGGTAGACGCAGAACCTAAAAAAATGATCAGTTTACGGAACTCTACTATCTTTACAACTGTTCTGTAAATCTAAAACTACTCTAAAATTGAAAGTTTATGAAAAGAGAAATGCTTAGCTCTTAGCCCTGCCCTCACCTTGTCCCCTCCTATCTCTAGTCTAATGGGACTTCTCCTCTTGCTGCTCCACAGATCTGAGAACTCTACAGCTCCCTCCATGCTTGCTGCTGACTCTGCAAATGGCATTGAGCACCATCAGTCCCTGAAGTGACGGATCTGGTACCATGCTTGACTCCTTTTCTTACTCCTCTCTCAATACCAATCAATCTCTAAGTCTTAGCAATCCTAGCCCCTAACAGCTTTTCCATCTTGCCATTCTCCCCATTGACACTGTCACTGCCCACATCAGGCTGCCCATTATTTCTCCCCAGAATTACCACAATACTCTAAATGGTCCCCTTCCTCCAGGCCCAATTCTTTCCACAATCTGTCTATACTACTGCTGTAGTTACAAAAAACAAAAACTTGCTGCAGTCACTTCTTTTGAGTGTGCCATCCCTTTTCCCCTACACACCCCCACTGCAAGAAACATCTGCAGGATAAAGTCCAAATACTTCGGTGCATATAAATCTCTAATACTTGGCTTCTGTCTCTCATGCATGAGTATTTCCTTCAACTCTTGTGTAAACCCTGTTAGCACCTCTTTTAAAGCTTGTCTGTCTGGTGAGAGCAGGTCACTCATCAGACCGCCTTTCAGTGTGCTTCTCACAGTAAGGTGACCTGCTCTGAGTTCCACAGCATGCAAGGCCCACTGCTAAGACACTGTCATTGAGCTCTGACAATGGCTGGCTGCTGTGCAAGGGCTAAAAACAAAACAAAAACAAAACCACAGAATTTGCCCAACGGGATGAGGACATGTGTCAAATCAGCTTCTCTGACCGATGCTTGGGATAATACTTCCAACTAGATCAGAATCACTGACGTTAAGAGGCTACTGACAACTGACGAGAATCAGTCATGATCCTTGGACTAGATGAAGTAGAAAAATGACTGAACTAAATTTTTTTTTTTTTGTATCTGGGATTAAACTCGGGGACACTCAACCATTGAGCCACATCCCCAGCCCTATTTTGTATTTTATTTAGAGACAGGGTCTCACTGAGTTGCTAAGCACCTCGCCATTGCTAAGGCTGGCTGTGATCTCTTGATCCTTCTGTCTCAGCCTCCTGAGTGGCTGGGATTACAGGCATGCACCACCATGCCTGGCTACTAAAATTAATTAAATTAATTCATTACAATTAATTAATTAAGATTAATTAATTAAAATGCAAAAAAGAGATCCGCCTTGCTGACCTGCGCAAGAGCCAGGGTCCAGGGTAAGCTTGGGTTCACTTCACCCCTACCCCCACCAGCACTGGGAGCTCAGGTCTAATCCACTTTAATCTTGAGACAATGCAGTCATCCCCATAGCCTTCCCCATGCAGTAGCCTCTACCTTGGGACAACAGACAGGGCCTAGAAATAGCTGCATCTTGGAGCAGGCATCCCAAAGTCAGTAAAAGGCCCACCTTTTAGCCCCATCTCTGAGAGACGTTGCATCCATCTTGGGCACCTCCACTGCTCTCTCAAGTTACCTCTTGCTATTGACGCTACCACCTAGAGTTGCAGTAGCATCCATCCTGGGACACTGGCAGATCTGGAAGCCCAACACCAAGGTGAGATACAGATAATCTACACAGATACTACAAGATTATAGGGTAGAAACTGTAATACCTCAGATCCACACTACAAGTAAGGAAATCACATAGAAAACATGAAAATACAAGGGAGGAAAGTACCTCAAAGAAACCAAGATACTGCAATAACAGAATCCACGGATAGTACAGTTGATCAAATGTCAGAGAAGGACTTCAGAATGTTCATAATTAAAATGATCTGTGCATTAAAGAATGACCTAAATGAGCAAATACAGGCAAAAATTCATCACTCCAACAAAGAGATAAGAGAGCAAATATATGCAATCATTGATGACACCAATAAACAGATAAGGGAGCAAATACAGGTAGCAAAAGTTACTTCAAGAAAGAGATAGAGATTCTGAAAAAAAAATCAGAAATCCTTGAAATGAAGGAAACAATAAACCAAACAAAAAACTCAAGAGAAAGCATCACCAACAGACTAGAAGATCACTTGGAAAACAGAACATCAGATAATGAAGACAAAGTATACAATCTGGAAAACAAAACTGACCACACCGTGAAGATGGTATGGAACCATGAGCAGAATATCCAAGGATTATGGGATAGCATCAAAAGACCAAATCTAAGAGCTATCGGGATAGAGGAAGGCACAGAGTTTCAAACCAAAGGAATGCACAATCTCTTCAATGAGATAATATCAGAAAATTTCCCAAACATGAAGAATGAATTGCAAAATCAAATAAAAGATGCTTACAGGACACTAAATCTACAAAATTACAACAGATTTATACCAAGGCATATTATAATGAAAATGCCTAGCATATAGAATCTTGAAAGCCACAAGAGAGAGGAATCAGATCACACATAGGGGGAAACCAATTTGTATCTCAGCAGATTTTTCAATCCAGACCCTAAAGCCAAGAGATGCCAACCAAGAATCTTATATCCAGTGCTGATAGTAGGCCCACCCTGGCCCCTGGGGACTCAACCCCCAGTTCTTTGTTATGCATGTCAATGTGGCCAGCTCACAAGGCCATGACGCAGGCTTGCGGTTCCCTGTTTATCTGCCTCGCACATATGTGTCTCGGGAACATCTTGACCTGTTCGAGCCTCCTGATAGGGGACGGTGACGTGACGGTAACCCAAGGACGCAGTTATTACTCTCCCCTCCTCACTTTTGAGTAATTTCCCGCAGCTGTTAAAAAGATATATAAGGGGAACAAATTTGGCAATAAAGCGCGCGCACACACGCTCCCTCCTGGATGAAGAACCTTGGTGTCCTGTGTATTTTTAACCCCGACGTCCCTCGCCGGACTCGGCTCGGTTAGCCGGACGCGGCAATCCAGCAAAATTAAGCTTTAGATTTGATGATGAAATAGAAACCTTCTATGATAAACAAAAATTAAGAGAATTTACAACTAGAAAGCCTGCATTATAGAACATCTTTAGCAAAATATTCCATAAAGAGAAATTGAAAAACAGCAATGAAAATCAGCAAAGGGGGGTATTACACTAAAGGAAAAACTAATCAAAGGAGAAATCAAGTCAAGTTAAATACCAAAAATAAACAAAAATGAATGGGAATACAAATCATTTCTCAATAATAACCCTAAATGTTAATGTCCTAAAGTCACCAATCAAAAGGCATCAACTGGCAGATTGGATTAAAAAAATGCCTCAAAAAGACTTATATCATAGGAAAAGACATCCACAGACTGCAGGTGAAAGGTTGGGAAAAATCATACTGCTCACATGGACTGCAGAAGCAAGCAGGGGTTTCCATCCTCATATCAACTAAAGTAAACTTCAAGCCAAAGTTAATCAAAAGGGACAAAGAAGGATATTTCATACTGCTTAAGGGAACCATTCATCAAAAAAACATAACAATAATAAATATATATGCCCCAAACAATGGAGCATCTACATTCATCAAACAAACTCTTCTCAAGTTCAAGAGTCAAATAGACCACAACACAATAATTCCAGGTGATTTTAACACACCTTTCACCAATGGATAGATCTTCCAAACAAAAGCTGAACAAAGAAACTATAGAACTCAATAATACAATCAATAACTTATACTTAACCTACATATATAGAATATTTCATCCTTCAACAAGCGAATACACTTTCTTCTCGGCAGCACATGGATCCTTCTCTAAAATAGGCCATATATTATGCCACAACGCAACTATTAGCAAATATAAAAAAGTAGAGATATTACCCTGCATTCTATCAGGTCATAATGGAATGAAATTAGAAATCAATGATAAAATAAAAAATAAAAGCTACTCCAACACCTGGAGACTAAATAATATGCAACTGAATGAACAATGAGTTGCAAAAGATATCAAGGAGGAGATTAAAAAAATTCTTAGAGGTGAATGAGAACACAGATACAACATGCCAAATGGAGTTCATTCCTTAACAGAAGAAAAAGCCAACAAATAAATGACTTAACATTATATATCAAAGCCCTAGAAAAAGAAGAACAAATCAACACCATATGCAGTAGAAGACAGGAAACAATTAAAATCAGAGCTGAAATCAGTGAAATTGAAATGAAAGAAACAATTGAAAAAATTGACAAAACAAAAAGTTGATTCTTTGAAAAAACAAAAATTGACAGACCCTTAGCCATGCTAATGAAGAGAGAGAGAGAGAGAGAGAGAGAGAAAACTCAAATATATATATATACTAACATATATGATGAAAAGGATATATCACAACAGACACTACAGAAATACAGAAGATAATTAGAAATTATTTTGAAAACTTGTACTCCAATAAAATAGAAAATATAAAAGGCATCGACAAATTTCTAGAGTCATATGATTTGTCCAGATTGAATCAGGATAATATACACAATTTAAACAGATCAGTTTCAAGCGATGAAATAGAAGATACCATCAGAAGCCTACCGACCAAGAAAAGCCCAGGACCGGATGGATACATAGGCCAAGTTCTACAAGACCATCAAGAAGAACTAATACCAACACTCTTCAATTTATTTCAGGAAACAGAAAAAGAGGGAGCACTTCCAAACTCATTCTATGAAGCCAATATCACCCTGACTCTAAAACCAGGCAAAGACACATCAAAGAAAGAAAACTTAAGGCCAATATCTCTAATGAACAAAGATGCAAAAATTCTGAATGAAATTCTGGCAAATCGAATAAAAAAATATCAAAAAAATAGTACACCACGATCAAGTGGGGTTCATCCCAGGGATGCAAGGTTGGTTCAATATACAGAAACCAATAAGTCTAATTCATCACATCAATAGACTTAAAGAAAAGAACTATATGATCATCTCAATAGATGCAGAAAAAATATTTGACAAAATACAGCACCCCTTCATGTTCAAAATACTAGAAAAACTAGGGATAACAGGAACATATATCAACATCGTAAAAGCTTTCTATGCTAAGCCCCAATTTAAAGGGATATAGATTTTTTTAAAGGGATATAGTAGGTAAAGAAGAACTCAAATTAGCCCTATTTGCTGACAATATGATTCTATACCTAGAAGTCCCAAAAAATTCCACCAGAAAACTTCTAGAACTAGTAAATGAATTGAGCAAAGTAGCAAGATACAAAATCAACACCCATAAATCAAAGGCATTCTGTATATCAGTGACAAATCCTCTGAAAGGGAAATGAGGAAAACTACCTCATTTACAATAGCCTTAAAAAAATACTTGGGAATCAACTTAATGAAAGAGGTGGAAGACCTCTACAACGAAAACTACAGAATGCTAAAGAATGAAATTAAAGATACCTTAGAAGATGGAAAGATCTATCTTGGATAGGCAGAATTAATAGTCAAAAATAAGCATACTACCAAAAGCACTACACAGATTTAATGCAATTTTCATCAAAATCCTAATGACATTCCTCATAGAAATAGAAAAAGTAGTCATAAAATTCATTTGGAAAATTAAGAGACCCAGAATAGCTAAAGCAATCCTTAGCAGAAAGAGTGAAGCAGGTAGCATCACTATACCAAACCTTAAACTACACTACAGAGCAACAGTAACAAAACAATATGCTATTGGCACCAAAATAGACTTGTAGACCAATAGTTCAAAATAGAGGACACAGACACTAACCCACATAATTACCGTTATCTTATATTAGACAAAGGTGCCAAAAACGTACATTGGAGAAAAGACAGACTCTTTAACAAATAGTGCTGGGAAAACTGAAAATCCATATGCAACAAAATCAAATTAAATCCCTATCTATCACCATGCACAAAACTCAACTCAACGTGGATCAAGGACCTAGGAATTAAGCCAGAGACACTTCGTCTATTGGAAGAAAAAGTAGGCCCAAATCTCTATCATGTTGGATTAGGCCCCAACTTCCTGAATAAGACTCCTATAGTGCAAGAATTAATAACAAGAATTAATAAATGGGATGGATTCAAATTAAAAAGCTTCTTTTCAGCAAAAGAAACAATCAGTGAGGTGAATAGAGTGCCTATAATTTGGGAACAAATTTTTACCACACACATGTCAGATACAGCACTAATCTCTAGGATATATAAAGAACTCAAAAATCTTAACACCAAAAAAACAAATAACCCAATCAATAAATGAGCCAAGAAACTGAACAGACACTTCTCAGGAGAAGATATACAATTAATCAACAAATATATGAAAAAATGTTCAACATCTCTAGCAATTAGAGAAATGAAAATCAAAACAACTCTAAGATTTCATCTAAATCCAGTCAGAATGGCAGCTATTAAGAATATAAACAAGAGAGATCCAACATGGCAGCCGGCGAGGAAGCAGCACTTTCAGTATCTCCACATTAACGGGATCAGAAAGACCCATTAAAACAGCTACATTCTACCTACTGAGGAACTTCTAGCAAAATTCCACTGAAAGGAGACCTGCCGGGAATTAGTAAGTTTATTAGAGGTGACAGTTTGTCCCAGACAAGTGAATCTTGGCCGGCCACGCGGGCGCAGAGGTCCAATCCCGCGGCCACCGCCCGCCCGGCTCTGCAAGCAGCCCCTGGCGGCCTGGCGCGGCGCGGCGCGGCAAGAAGGGTCCCCGCCCGGCCCGGCAGACGGCCCCCGCCATCCCGGCTCTCCTGGCAGCCCCGCTTGCTCTGTGATCGGCCACCCCGCCCGCCCGGCTCTTAGCCACGCGGCCACCGCCTGCCCGGCTCTACAAGCGGCCCCCGGCGGCCCAGTGCGGCGAGAAGGGTCCCCGCCTGGCCCAGCAGACGGCCCGCGCCCTCCCGGCTCTGCGAACGGCCCCGCCCACCCGGCAAACGGCTCACCACCCCCCTGAGACGACGTGAAGGGAATCTAACCAAGCCTTTATGAAATAGTGAACTGGGAACTAAAACCAGAGATTGTGTCAGACCAGAGACAAGCCAGTTCCACCCCTCCCTTCGGACACTCCGGCAAGGAGCCAGGGGCCCGCCACAGCAGAGAGGGGAAGTCACCAAAGTTCGGCCAAAGAGATTCCTTCCCAGTGGAATCTACTTTAGCAGGTGTGTGACTCCCACCCACATCAGATACAAACAACCGGGAAACTTCAAAATCTCTCCGTGGTTATGACCGTAAGGGCCAAAGGACTCTCGACCCCCAACTCCCCCTACTGCCAGTGACATGGACGTGACTGTAGGGGCGGAGGGAAGCAGAGAAGACTCCCCACCCCCAACTCCCCCAACCGCCAACTGAGAGGGCGTGACGGTAGGGGCGGAGGGAAACAGAGGACACTCCAGACCCAAAACTCCTCCTACCGCCAGCGGAGTGGTCGTGATTATAGGGGCTGAGGGAAGCAGAGGGGATCCTCGACCCCCAACTCTCATTACCACCAGCGGCGACACCAACGGTCTTAGCCGCCAGATTCCGAAGGTGTGCCCACCAAAGGGGTCCGGAAAAATTAAACTATTGACTCCCAGACCACAGCTCCACAGCACTGGGGCTTAGATGAATGACAGAGAGAGTGCTCAGTCGTTAGGGAAATAGAACACTCGGTGGGGCTGAAAGTGTAACCAAATCCTTGGGGAACTGCCTCCGGTGAGCAGGACCTGGCTGGCTGGCAGGAGGAAGGGGAGGAGGGGCCGTAGAAGTGAAACGGCTCTGGACCAACAGGATTGAGAGGCTCCCAGGAGCCGCCTTACAGGGATTGCTGTTGACACATTGAGGGCAAAACTCAGCCTGGAGGGCACAGCTTTGCCTACGGGAAGAGAAGAAAATGGATCTCTAAGACCTAATTTTATTTCTTATTTTATTTTATTTTTTCTCTCCCTTTTTCCCTCTTTCTCTCCCCTTCCAAGTTTTATTGTTCTTTCCATTCTCCTCTATGCTATCTATCTCCCTCTCCTTCTTTCTTTTCAAGAGCACCTTCCTTCCCCTTCCCCCCAACTTTCATCCCAAGCATTACGTCCTCCATTTCGTGTAACTGTCTAAATGCAAATAGGTGAATGTTTCGAGGCCGTCTATAGTGCTCCTAAATACCTAGCTACTACCAACACCCTGATCCAATCGACGGTTAGTATCCCCCTTCAGTAGAGCAATCTTCTAAAGTAGCCAAGACATACTAACCCTTATACCTTCATAGCACCTAACCTAAAGTCCTAAGAACAAAAAACAAATCACTATATGCATACAAAATCCGGAAGCCCTTTATAAATTGAATGAATCAGCTCTAAAGTACAATAAAGCCCAACATCTCTAGGCATAATCTCCCACCACAAAGGAGAGACAACAGAGATAAACAAAGCCAAAACAAATGTATAGGAGAAAGCAGTTACAAAGAAAGTAACGTGAACAACATGAAAAATCAAGGGAAAAAAGGATTACAGATAATGCAGGACAACTTAAATCTACAGGAGGACCTAGAAGCATCAGAAACATGGACAGGGAAAGAAATCAAGGCATACCTAACTCAGATGGAACGGAATTTTAGAGAAGACATGAGACAGCAAGTCTAAGAATTGAAAGTATATTTTGAAAACGAACTAAATAAACAAGGTGAAAGGCTGGGGAAAATCATACCACTCACGTGGCCCTCGGAAGCAAGCAGGAGAGGCCATACGCATATCGAATAAAATCAACTTCAAACCTAAGTTAATCAAAAGGGATAAAGAAGGACACTATATCCTGTTAAAAGGAACTATCCACCAACAAGACATAACAATTATCAATTTATATGCACCAAATAATGGTGCAGCAACGTTCATAAAACAAACTCTCCTCAAGTTCAAGAGTCAAATTCAAACTGCAAAGAACGAGCTTTACCAGGAGATAGAGATCTTAAAAAAAAACCAAACAGTAATTTTAGAAATGCAAGAAACCATAAACCAGATTAAAAACGCTAATGAGAATATTACAAGTAGACTAGATCAAGTAGAAGTCAGAACATCAGATAATGAAGACAAAGTTTATCAACTTGAAAAGAATATAGTCAACACTGTAAAGATGCTTAAATCTCACGAGCAATCTATCCAAGAGATATGGGATCTCATCAAAAAACCAAATTTGAGAGTCATTGGGATAGAAGAAGGCACAGAGGTTCAAACCAAAGGAATGGACAACCTATTAAATGAAATAATCCTAGAAAACTTCCCAGAGATGAAAGATGGAATGGATTGCCAAATCCTGGAAGCCTACAGGACGCCAAACATCCAAAACTGTAATAGACCAACTCCAAGACATATAATTATGAAGATAGCCAACATACAGAACAAGGAGAGAATATAATAATTATGGGTGACTTCAACACACCGCTCTCGCCATTAGACAGATCCTCCAGACAAAAGCTGAATAAAGAAACTATAGAACTCAATGACACAATCAATAACCTAGACTTAACCGACATATATAGAATATATCAACCATCATCAAGTGGATACACGTTCTTCTCAGCAGCACATGGATCTTACTCAAAGATAGATCATATATTATGCCATAGGGCAACTCTTAGTAAATATAAAGGAGTGGAGATAATACCATGCACCATATCTGATCATAATGGAATGAAACTGGAAATCAATGATAAAAGAAGGAAGGAAAAATCCTGCATCACATGGAAAATAAACAATATGTTACTGAATGACCAATGGGTTACAGAAGACATAAAGGAGGAAATAAAAAAATTCTTAGAGATAAATGACAATTCAGACACAACATACCGGAATCTATGGGACACAATGAAAGCAGTTTTAAGAGGGAAATTCATTTCCTGGAGTTCATTCCTCAAAAAAAGAAAAAACCAACAAATAAACGAACTCACACTACATCTCAAAACCCTAGAAAAGGAAGAGCAAAACAACAGCAAATATAGCAGAAGACAAGAAATAATTAAAATCAGAGTGGAAATCAACAAAATTGAAACAAAAAAAAAAAACCATTGAAAAAATTGATAAAACTAAAAGTTGGTTCTTTGAAAAAATAAATAAGATCGACAGACCCTTAGCCATGCTAACGAAGAGAAGAAGAGAGAAAACTCAAATCACTAACATATGGGATGAAAAAGGCAATATCACAACAGACACTACAGAAATACAGAAGATAATTAGAAAGTATTTTGAAACCCTATATTCTAATAAAATAGAAGACAGTGAAGACATCGATAAATTTCTTAAGTCATATGATCTGCCCAGATTGAGTCAGGAAGACACACACAATTTAAACAGACCAATAACAAAGGAAGAAATAGAAGAAGCCATAAAAAGACTACCAACCAAGAAAAGCCCTGGACCGGATGGGTATACAGCGGAGTTTTACAAAACCTTCAAAGAAGAATTAATACCAATACTTTTCAAGCTATTTCAAGAAATAGAAAAAGAAGGACCTCTTCCAAATTCATTCTATGAGGCCAACATCACCCTGATCCCGAAACCAGACAAAGACACTTCAAAGAAAGAAAACTACAGACCAATATCTCTAATGAACATAGATGCAAAAATTCTCAATAAAATCCTGGCGAATCGAATACAAAAGCATATCAAAAAAATTGTGCACCATGATCAAGTAGGATTCATCCCTGGGATGCAAGGTTGGTTCAATATACGGAAATCAATAAATATTATTCACCACATCAATAGACTTAAAGATAAGAACCATATGATCGTTTCGATAGATGCAGAAAAAGCATTCGACAAAGTACAGCATCCTTTTATGTTCAAAACACTAGAAAAACTGGGGATAACAGGAACTTACCTCAACATTGTAAAAGCTATATATGCTAAGCCTCAGGCTAGCATCATTCTAAATGGAGAAAAACTGAAGGCATTCCCGCTAAAATCTGGAGCAAGACAGGGATGCCCTCTCTCACCACTTCTATTTAATTTAGTCCTTGAAATACTAGCCAGAGCAATTAGACAGACAAAAGAAATTAAAGGCATAAAAATAGGAAAAGAAGAACTTAAAATATCACTATTTGCGGTGGATATGATCCTATACCTAGAAGACCCAAAAGGGTCTACAAAGAAACTACTAGAACTAATAAATGAATTCAGCAAAGTGGCAGGATATAAAATCAACATGCATAAATCAAAGGCATTCCTGTATATCAGCAACAAAACTTCTGAAATGGAAATGAGGAAAACCACCCCATTCACAATATCCTCAAAAAAAAATAAAATACTTGGGAATCAACCTAACAAAAGAGGTGAAAGATTTATACAATGAAAACTACAGAACCCTAAAGAGAGAGATAGTAGAAGATCTTAGAAGATGGAAAAATGTACCCTGTTCATGGATAGGCAGAACCAACATCATCAAAATGGCGATATTACCCAAAGTTCTCTATAGGTTCAACGCAATGCCAATCAAAATCCCAACGGCATTTCTTGTAGAAATAGATAAAGCTATTATAGGGACAGCATATTATAGGGACACAGCCACATCAATGTTTATAGGAGCACAATTCACAATAGCTAAACTGTGGAACCAACCTAGATACCCTCCAGTAGATGAATGGATAAAGAAAATGTGGTATATATACACAATGGAATGTTATTCAGCATTAAAAGAGAATAAAATCATGGAATTTGCAAGTAAATGGATGGAGCTACAGAATATAATGCTAAGTGAAGTTAGCCAATCCCAAAATACCAATGC